ACACATGCCCAGGTTGTGGGCCAAATCCCTAGTGGGGGCATGCAGGAGGCGGCCAGTCGATGTTCTCTCTCATCAGTGTTTCCATCTCTTTCTCCCTCTCCCTTCCTGTCTCTGTAAAATCAATACAGTTTTTTAGAATAAGTTTATCTGGTTCTAAAAATATAGAATAACTTAGGAAAGAATTAACTTTGTTGTAATGCTAAATCTTCCTCTAGAACAGTGGTTCTCAACCTTCCTAATGCTGCGACCCTTTAATACAGTTCTTCATGTTGTATGTGGGTGTATCTGCATGTGGGCAGACTCGTCTGGAGACGGATAGAGGAGCAGTGTCTTGGTTCCTAAGACTGTCGGAAATATTTGTTTTCCAGTGGTCTTAGGCAACCCCTGTGAAAGGGTCGTTCATCCTCTAAAGGAGTCGCGACACACAGGTTGAGAACTGCTACTCTAGAACATCATTGTATTTCAAGATCTTTAATCTGTGTGCGTGCGTGCGTGTGTGTATCCTCTTTTCTTAGACCATGTAAATTTTTTTCCTTTACAAAGATAATACATACTGCCTACTAGTTTTTCCTTGATAATTTATCTTATTGCTATTTTACATGAGGTCTTTTCTTTCATTATATTTTCTGTTGATTATATATAGTGAAAAACTATTCACCTTTTTTTATTAAATATGTAAGTATCAATTTTACCAAATTATCTTTTGATAGTTTTAAATTTACTTCTCTTGGGTTTTTTGGTATTTGTTCAGTTGTATCTCTAATGGTAGTTTTACCTTCAAATTTTACATTTATACACTTACTACTTCAGGTTGTTAGTATCTTTAGAAAAATATTAAATAACATTAGTAATAGTGTCTTGACAATTTTATTGTCTTTCTCTTGAAATGAATGAAAATGATGAATGGTGTCACTTCTAGTGTTTTTAGTATTATGTATGATGCTGGCTTTTTAAGTTAAGGTAGAATATGAAGAAATGATTCTTATTTCATTAAAAGCTATAGAGATTGTTTTAATTTTTGATCAAAAATGGGTTTTATTGTGACTTTTGTGTATTTATAGAAAGATGGGTTACTTTTTTTTCTTTTTCATCTGTTTATATTGTTTCCTAATACTGAACTAACCATTGACTTCTGGTATAAATTTTATTTTACTTTTTTTTTTTTTTTGATAAATCACTGGTCTTACTTTTATTTAATTTTTCAAAAGTAAGATTGCTGTGTAGATTTGGGGAAGGTATTTTTGTGAGATATCAATGTTACCTGGTTTTATAAAGAATAATTGAAGTGTTTTCATCTTTATACTCTGAGTTAAATAAATTAAGTAGCATTGGAGATATATTTTCTTAGAAGTTCAGTTGAATTCATCTGTGAAATTATCAGGATATACTGATTTTAGACCGTGTATCTTTTAAAAAGCTTTTCTGGCCCTGGCCAGTTTGGCTCAGCGGTTAGAGCGTCGGCCTGCGGTCCGGAGAGACCCGGGTTCGGTTCCCGCTAAGGGCACGTACTTCGGTTGCAGTTTGTCCCCGGCCCTGGTTGGTCGTGCGGGTGGCAGCCACTCGATGTGTCCCTTCACGTCGATGTTTCTCTCTCTCTCTCTCCCTCCCACTCTATCTGTACAAAAAATGGAAAAATATCCTCGGGTGAGGATAAAAAAAAAAAAAAAAAAAAGTAAAAAGCTTTTCTGTCCTTTGTTGGATTTTCATCTAGATTATCAAATCTGTGCAGTGATATGAGCAAATTTAATTTTATCTTCATCTGAGGTTATTTCCCCCAGTTTTCTTTCTTATTTTGTGAATTTATTTTACTTTTTATTACAGTTCACATTCATTATTATATTTTGTGTTATTTTTACATTTAGCCCAACTTTCACCTTTATGATTACTACCACCTTTGCTTAATTAGACTTCCTATAGCATACATTTAAACATGATTCTTGATTTAAATTTTATACTTACTGTGTTTGTTTTTAAAGTACATTTTAATGAAATGCTTGCAGAACTTTTGAAACACTGCTACAGTATATTATGAAAAGCATTGATCTGGTTAATATTATAAATGACAGTAATTAAGACATATGACACTGGACTTGGCCAAAAGCTTTCAAAAGTCGTAAGGACAAAATAAATAGCATCAGAATAACTTTAAAAATATTCTGAAAAGGATGAGGAATGATACTGAATTCATTATGGAATAGAGCAATGATAAAATAAAATAGAGTCCAGTAATAGACCTAAGTAAATGTAAGAATTTTAGTGAATTACAAAGGAGATGTTTTATTTTATTTATTTATTTATTAATTATTTTTTTAATCCTCACCAGAGGATATTTTCCCATTGATTTGCAGATAGAGTGGGAGGGAAGGGAAGGAGAGAGAGAGAGAAAGAAATATCGATGTGAGAGAGACACATCAACTGGTTGCTTCCCACATGGCCCTAGTGGGCCAGGGATCAAACCTGCAACCAAAGTATGTGCCCTTGACCGGTATTGAACACATGACTCTGGTCTAAGGGCTGATGCTCTAACCACTGAGCAAAACTGGCCAGGGTAGGAGATGTTTTATTTAAAACAGATTATTCAGTAAGTAGTGTTGGGACATCTAACTGTTTGAACAAAATAAGACACGTCTATTTTTTATATTAAACTGAATTCAAGTTGGATAAAAGGGTGTGTGTGTGTTAGTACTTAAGATTTAGTAAAAACCTAGGGGATTTCTAAAAATGATCTTAGCAGAGAGAGGGCTTTTGAAGGTCTGGCACAGTATCTGAAAGCCATAAAGATAAATGTTGATAAATTCCAGTACATGAAAATGTAAAACTTCTTTATGGCAAAACATAGCTATAACCCCACCTCCAATAAAAACATGCATCATGAACAAAATCAGTATTCAGTTGAGAAAAGATATTTTGCCAAATAATTATAACAAAAATATTCAAGGAATTGGTTTAAAATATGGTAAGAGTGTGTGTGTGTGTGTGTGTGTGTGTGTGTGTGTGTGTGTGGTCATTCAAGAAGAGTGACATCTGTTGGTATGGATATAGAAAGGATCTATGAAAAACATGAGTTAATATAAGAAGGAAGTTGTAAAACCAGTAAAGTATGTTCCCATATACTTACCATATCATGTATATGTTTATACGCAAACCTTTTTAGTATCTGTGTAGGATTTTATTTCAAACTCTCTGTAGAATTGTGGTTACTCTAGGGATGGGGTAATTGTGGATTATAATCTTCTTTCGTTATGTGACGTGAAATCTTTTTTTTAATCCTTACCCAAGGACATTTTTGCATTTATCTTCAGATAGAGTGGGAGGGAGAGAGAGACGTCGATGTAAGAGAGACACATTGACTGGTTGCCACCCACACAACCCCAACCAGGTCCGGGGACAAACTGCAACCGAGGTACGTGCCCTTAGAGGGAACCGAACACGGGATGACTCTCTGGTCTGTGGGCCGATGCTCCAACCGCTGAGCAAAACCGGCCAGGCATGACTTGAAATTTTTTAATGTTATAAAAAAGAAAATGGGTGGTTTGCAGAATAATTTTTTTAAACTTTAAAGATTTGATATTACAAATTATCTGAAATAACTATATATATATATATATCTTAAAAAGGCAAACTTAGTAATGTAAAAAATATATACAGCCAAATAGTCAATATTCTAATGAAAAGTTAATAAAAAGTTATAAATTATATCTAGCTTTGAAAATTATCCTGTAAATAATTTTAAAATTAAAACTTTAGAGAATTGTAGACTTAACCTTATAAATTTGAAGAAGCATATGCTGAATGTAGAGATTAATGAAATTAGGTCATCAGAAGTTTTTGTCAAGAACTTACAGAAAATGTCACCAACATTTTTTGCTTTTTCTAGCTGGATGAAAAGATGGGTTTTATGAGTAGACATACTGCATGAGACAATTGGAATTCCTTACAATAATATTTTTATGTAATAGTTACAGTTTCAAAAATTACAATTGTTTCTGAACTTAAATCTCATAAGTACTTTAAAATTTTTTAGTTACATGGCTTTGTGAGGAGGCCATGGACTAAAAACTCCTAAGCTACATTTTAATAGGCATGGAATTCTTTAAATTTATCATAAATTTATATGTGCAGGTTTAAAATTTATACCTGGGGACTTGATTATCACACAACTCATGGTCAGATGTCATTGAACATGTAATTGTTTCTACATTTCACATTATGCTGTACTTTGAGATTATGCTATAAATCTTTTGTGACTATGAGTTATTTTGGTATGTTGCTTACATTGATTTATGTTATTTCGTGTTACTTTAATTTGAATGTATTGTTTCCAAAGCAGCCACTTAATGTAGCAAGTACTTAGACTTTACTGTTTACTAAGTTTAAGTTTTATATGCAATTCTGAAAGCTTTGTAGAAGGTGCTTTAGTTTATAATTGAAAAGTTCAGGATTTTTTTCTCCTTCATTGAGATACTTATATTTTATAATAGTGATATGTCAAACAATTTGTGATCATGTGATGTAATTTAAAAATACATGCAAAATATTCTAATTCTGTTGAGTTTTTAGTTACTATATATGCCATTTGTAAATTAAGAATTAGAATGCAGAGAAATATTTTTAGCCTATTGATTCTAATTTAGACTTTGATTCAGGATGTTGAAGTACTTTGACACTGTTGCCTTGAATGACAATTATCATTGTATTGTAAACATGTAGACATAGTTTTTCTAGTCAGATATTGGCAAGTAGTGAATTAGCTCTAATCTGTTATGAGAAATTGTTCTTGTTTTCTTTTTAAAGGAATTTACAATCACTAGGCTGATTTTAGAAATAACCATAGAAAGTACATTATAATAGGTGGTAAATACTTAGACATAAATAACCACAAAGCAAATTAATAGATAGCTGTCTTCACTGGGTTTAGATAATTTAAATATTAGGTACTATAACTTTTTTTCCCCAGAAATTATTAATGTTCTATATTCCAATGTTCTTAATGATTTTAGGCTGCAGTTCATGGAGCTCGTTTCAAAGGGCAGGATTTAAAACTGGCGTGGAATAAACCAATAACTAATATTTCAGCTGTTGAAACAGAAGAAGTTGAACCCGATGAAGAGGAAGTATGTTTGTTTTTTTCACTTGGTTTTGCCCTTAAATATTCACATTTGTATATAAAATTTTATTTTATGGCTGTGATTTCAACATAAAACTTTTATTCCTAAGCCATATTTCAGGCAGGGGATATCAAGTAAATGCAGACAACTTTAATTTTTCTGAATTAATGAAATCTGTGGATTAGTAATCCAGAAAGAATGTATACAAATCATATGTATATATATGTTTATATATATACTCAGTTTTTATTTACTCTTAAAAGACAATAATTATTTCATAGATTTTTATCCACAGGAAATCTTATTTCAAGTATTAGAGTATATATTCTCAATTGCTTTATTGACATTTTAGGTATCTTTTATTTTAATATTGTTTTAGTTCTTTAGAATGAATCCCTGCTATGTGGCAGTTCTTTAGAATTTATGCCTTACTGTGATAGGCATAAAAATGAATAAGACACGGTCCCTATCATCAAGGAGCTTATAATCTGGAAAGGGGGGTAGTGCTGACAGACACATAAGAAAACTAATTATAATAAAAGGCTGACTGATGTGCTGAATAACAATTTGAACAATATGCTGTTGGAATCCAAAGGAAGGAGTGATTATTTCTGTCCATAAGAATCTTTTGTTTTTGTTAGTTCTCACTGGAGGATATTTTTTCCCATTGATTTTTTTTTTTTTTTTTTTTTTTTAGAAGGAGTGGAAAGGAGAGGGAAAGAGGGAGAGAGAGAGACATCAATTGGTTGTCTCCTGCATGCTCCCCAGCTGGGGCGGGGATTGAATCTGCAACCCAGATAAGTGCCCTCTACCGGGAATCAAACCTCCTTCCCTTCAGTATGCAGGCTTAACAGTGAGCCACGCCAGCCAGAGCTGTCCATAAAAATCTTGAAGGAGTTGGTGACAGTGACAGTGAACCTGAACATTAAGTGATAGTAACGCTTTCTATAACCAAGAGCTTGGACAGGGAATATAGTTGAAGGGCATATTTGAGCAGAGGGATCGGTGTGGAAGATTACATTTTTCTTGGGTGAGAGAAGTTAGTCTGATGACTGAGACTTGTGAGCATAAAGAACAGTTAGCCCTTTGAACAACCCAAAACTTAAAAATCAGCAACTTTGTTTGTTTAATCATGAAATAAGTGGTAGGAAAAAGTTGAGGAAGTTAAAACAATAAAGGTAAGGTAGGGACATTAAACAAACCTATGTTTTACTGTTTTTAGATTTTCAGTGTCACTTAATTTTGTTTGAGGAGCAATCAAGGCTGTTACACATATCCATAGTCAAATGCAAGAGTAAATTGTGTGTTTTGAAACTCATATACATGATTTGTCATTTTATATTTTAGATTATACCTTTGTCCTTCCATGAGTTTGAATTGAATGGGGAGAAAAGCAGGAGAGCTCCTGGTATTAGGTATTTTGAAAAGTTTGAAAAGCAGTCTGAGAAGCTTTTATGAAAGGAATGGAGAAAAGAAAGGAATGCTGTAAAGAAAATGTTTATGTACAGTAGAAAATCTGGATAGACTTTTATACAACTTAATGGTTGTTTTAGTATCCAGCATTAGACACAGGGTAAGTTAGAGAAGACTTACTGATGTTTTCTTTAAAAAAAGAAATAGATATTAAGCATTGTTTTGTAGGTATAGAAAATAGCATTTGGTTAAGAGAGGCAGGAGAAATGGCATGTACAAAGATTTACTTTGATTAATTCCTTAGTGCCTTTTTGATGCAAGCAATAGAGTAGATACTATAGAGAAACCACTAAGTCATTAAAGGTTGCTTTTCTTTGTTTCTTGAATATTCTAGCTATAGAAATACCTTTTGTATTCGACTCTTGAGAGAAATCAATATTTAAAAGTGTCACCTTTTTTCTTTTCTTTTTCTTTTTTTTTTTTTTTTTGGGTAAATTCCTAAATGCATTTTAACCTAAAGTTTCAGGAAGAGTCTATGGTGGATGACTCATTACTTCAAGATGATGATGAAGAAGAAGAGGACAATGAATCTCGTTCTTGGAGAAGATGATTTGATGATTTGACTGATCATTGATCTGCATATGCTAGAACTCTACCTGTGTTTCATTAGTATTATCTAATGTACTTTTACATATTTGTAAAAACAATTTTTGGTAAATGTGATGAAGATGGATTTCACAAATAGACAAACGAGAAGAAAACTACCTTCTGATCCTGTATTTTGAAAGATTGATGTTTGCATTTTATTTCAGTAAACAATTGCTAAAGACATCACACTAGAAACATGCAATGTTTTTATTACATACTTCTACTGGACATTACAGAATTCTTTGGGTTCTTTGTAATTTAATGAATAGGTCTGAAAACTTATGACCAATACTTGTAATAACTTAGAGGATTTTGTTTTACTCCAAATAAGGAATGAATTTGCATTTAAAATCTTAATGAATGTTTTCAAAAATGAATAGATAACATAGTACTCTAACTAAAGTCTCCAAGTATGTATTTATAATATTACATAGTAGTATGCTTAGGCTTTACTATGTATTAGCCTTTTGTTGGACTTGTGTATGTATTTTACCATATGGGTTTCAATGATAATGGTGTATGACTGCTTTGCATATATTCTCTCCTTATGCATTCAGATGTTTAAAATAAAGTGGAATGGTCTTTTAAAAAGAAAAGAAAAGAAAAAAAAGCAATGACCAAAAAAAAAAAAAAAAAATCCAACAAAAAAAAAAATCTAAAACAACCAAGACAATGTTCTTTGATTCAAAAAAAAAAAGAAAAGAAAAGAAAAAAAGTTAAAATAGACCATTCCTGATGGTGATTTACCCTTCCCCCCAATTATCACAAAAGGAGCTATAATCACTAACTTATTCTTAGTAATGATGATTACTGGTACCTTTACAATAATGTACAATCCAATGTTTAAAATTTATACCACTTCAGTTTGGTTTGATCCTATAAATTTTCAACAGATGTCTTAAAATTTAAAAGCAGGATGATTAGTTTGGAACCAGACTTCAAGTAGAGCTAACATTTGGTGAATAAGAAAACCATCACATTACATTTTGGATGTATGAAAGAAAACTTGACCATTTGAAGATGTATGAATAAAGAAATGTACTATAGATACTACTTTAGGAAAACACTGTTTGGTAAGTGTTTCAGTCTGATATTTTAAGTGTGCATTTCCTATACTTGTATAAAACTCTTGACATTTGCAAAAATTTTGTGATTTTTAAGTGGATTTCTCTGGCAAGTGAACATGATCACTTAAAGTTGATACAGAAAATAAATGCATTCTTTGTAGAATGAGGGGGTGGGAGAATACATATTTATATTTTTAAATTCATCATTTTGTTTACAAGTGTTTCTGCTCCTCCTGAGATTATAGTGATTATATTAAAAGTCACATTAAAAACGTCAACTTTCTTTCCATACTGTGGTCCTCACAATCACAAACTGTAATTCCACCCTCCCTAGTTTTCTGCCAGTGGAATCACGAGTGCATTTTTCCCACACTTAGGGTTAGTTATATATATGTTCTTGATGGTAATACTATTTCATAAGATATATTGACTTGCAGTTGGTGCATATGTTTATATTTAAAATTTCAGAATCAGATGTCTTTTGTCAAAATAGTGACTTTACTCAAAACCTTCTTTACTATATTTAGATCTATGATATATTTTTGTGTAGTCTCTTGTATGTTGACTGTGTACTATTCTGATTTGTTAGGTAAGTTTGTTTTCTTTTCTTTTTAGTAGTCGTGAAAGGTGCCAAATTGGCAGAGGCTCACGTTTCTTCTCTTTACACCAAACAGGTATTATAAAGAAAAAAATCTTTCAAAGGCCAGTTAAATCTCCATGCTGATTTTTGGCTTTATAATTTGATTAGTAAACTTTAGCCTGATACGTTAAAAATTACTATAAAAATCCCATACAATTTAACTGAAATTACCTATTATTTCTTTAAATATCACAAATAGGTAATGTTACATTTTACATTCTCTAGTAGTCTAAAATTATAATATTTTAAGCCATTTTGCTGTGAATGAATCAGAAAAAAAGTATATTTCAGTTTGGTCCTGAAGTATGGGGATTAAATATTAGTAGCGTTCATATGGCTCACAATTAGATTTTTATTAGCAATGATTTTAATTATAAATCTTACTTAGATTTTCATTGCTATTGAATTTTTAAAATTACCATGTTTATAAATACTAGTACTACTCTCTACATGTACTTTCATCTGTTCTCATTCAAAACTTAAGCTATCCCTTTAAAGTACTTGTTAACTCCCATTTTACAGATAAGGAAACAGGATAATAGAGATGGAATGACTTACCCAGAGTCACTGCTAGTCGTGGAAGGAATAGGTTTGAATGCACACATTCTGATTTTAGTGCCAGCTATCTTTTTAAAAAAACTCTACATTGCTACCTCCTTTCTAATTATTGACTGAGCATGAGATTGTGTGTGCAACAAATGTGGTAGTTTTTGCACAGTATTAGTAGACTTTGTCATTAGCCAGCTCATACCTTTACCCTCCCTTTTAATACAGCGCTTTGTTCAGATCTCTGTTACAAGTACTTATATTGTAATATAATTTATCTGGTTTATATGTCTGTCTTCCCCACTAGATTACAAGCTCCTCTAGGAAGGGGACCATGTCTTATTCATCTTTTTATCTCTAGTGATTATCACAAAGCTTGGCTCATAGTGGGCACTAAGATATTTGTTGGATGAATTAATGAATGAATGCACATTTGAATCTCCAATAATGGAGTGACAATTACCTCCCTTGTTAATTCTTATCAATTTTTCAAAAATACCTCTTGAAGGTCTTAGTCATTGGGACCATTTTGCTGAGCAATTGCTACAGTTAAAGACTGTACTACTGGGGTTATAAATGCTGATGGAGGAATACACAGGTAGTCTTAGTAGAATTTCCATAACAATTAGTAAGTCATTAATGTTTTTATAGAATTAAATGTTGTAGTCAGTTCAGGAGTAAAATAGCCTTTTGATTTCTTCTAGTATGTAAAGATAGAAATGGCAAGAGCCACCAATCTAGTCCATCCTACTAATTTTTTATATCCAAAGATGACCTAGTGTAGAGTACTGGACAAGGGTTAAGAGATTTTGCTTTTGGTCCCAGCTCTGTAACTAACTCTGTGGCCTTGGATAAGTCTCTTAACTTATCCAGGGCTGTTTCCTTGTCTGTAAAATGAAAGTGGTTGGACTAGATGATATCTAAGGTCCCTTTCACATCTATAGCTTCCCTGGTGTATTAGTTTTTAATCTAAAACAATCTAATGTATCTATACCAATTCTCCATACCTGTTGTTACTGTTTCTATCTTACCAATTGAAACAATTTCAGTTTGGTTATGATAATTCATATGTGTCTTAGTACAGTTTTGTGTATAGTGTTCGCAAATGCTTGCCTTGCTGGCACAAATTCCATTCAGCCGATGAAGTCTAGATTAACTTCTGTATTCATTAGCACTTTTCCTTTCTGCTTATAACTTCCCTTCACTTCTAAAGTCAAAGTTTAAGACTTTTCTATTATAATAATGCTACTAAAACTTGAAACACACTTTTAATTACAGTTCTCATTACAAGCTTTTTGTTTTGGTACTGATCTGGGCTGAGTTGGGAGTGAAAAAAAGGATTGGGAACAATGTAGTTAGCTACTTCTTACAAGAAAATAATTGAGGAAAATTATGTATTATTGGTTAAAAGATTGATTAGGATTACCTCAAGGGATGGTTGAGTTGTCATTTAACATATTTCAGTATTTTATGTCTCTACCTAAGCAGTGTTGTTTTAAATGTTATTGGATAATTGTAACATTAAAAAAATTAATTTTAGTATTTAAGCAATGCCCAAGCATTTATTGAAATCATGTTGCAGGAGTGGGAGAGTATTCCATAGTGCTTGTTTTATTACAATATGATCAAATGTATCAACTAATAGTTTACTATGAAGATAAGATTTTACTGTTTTAGCTGATTATCTGTAGAAAGTGTGGCTGAGCTTAACTGAAGGACATTTCCTGTTTTATGAGGACTGGATTTCCGATCCTACTTGGAGCACTAATCATTGGTTCTTAAAGGTTACAAGGAGAAAGCAAACCATTGCTTGTTTGGTACATTAAAATATCAATGGCTGGTTTACAGTATGGCCTTTTCAAACAAGAAATATCCTGCGTGAAATTCTGCTTAATTAAGTTAGTTCACTTTTTGGTCTTTCTCTCAGGGTTTTTCTTATTCTTCTAAAACCCTATAAATTACAAATGGAAATTTAATCCAGTATTAAAATATGAGTGTATAATATCTGTAAGGCAGAAAAAAAATTTTCCTTTTCCCAGGAACGGCCATGTTCTTGTTAACTTGAACTGGTTAGTTGTTCTAAGGTATGTATGCAGGCTTTTAGAGAAGAGTGATTTTTTTTCTTCTCTGATTATATACCTATCAGATGACAGCAGATGATCTTCCAAAATAGCTTCCTAAAAGTCCTAAGAAAAATTTTGGTGAATACTACTGCCATATTCAGTAATTTCTAACAGAAACATTGTTTAGTTGAAAAATTTCTAATTTGGTAAATAATTTTCTTGCAGTTTATAAGTATTGTTATTCATTACTTAGTGTAATTGAAAATATTTTTTGTTTTACCCTTTGGTTTTAATTTATTATACTTGCTCCTTCCTAATCCCTCCTTCCTCGTTACTTCATTTAATCTATCTAATCTCCCCATTATCCAAAATTAGTCTTCCTTTGTATACCAAGCACTGTCTCATTTTGATGTGTTTCTTTTATTTATTTTTGTTGTAAATCATTGTACTTAGTATAGTGTGACTACAGAATGAAATGATTATCATGTGGAGTTTAAGGAAATTAGATATACCTTGCAGTTACTTTGAAATCTTTGGGAAACTTAAGATAATGGTTTTTTCATTCATTTTTTATATATAATATCTTGGAATTTGTTCATGATTTTTTCAAATAACTTTGCCTACTGACACCTATGTAAAAATTTACTATCTGGTCAGTAACCATATTTTCTAACCATAATTTTTAGATCATAGTCATGTTGTAGAGCTGTGATCTCTGCAGCTTAGTGTTTTAAAGAAGCATGGTGAGAGGTGTGTCTTAAAATAATTTTAAGCCAGAGCTGATTTTTTTCTTTGTCTACAACTTTGATCTGATCCTTTCTCAAATAGACTTTTTTTTTATGTTTAGACAAATTGGAAATCAATTTATGGTGTGATTCAATTTTTACACTTATTTTACCGTTTTCAAAGTTTTTTTTAATAGTCTTCTCTTTTTCCAGCAGAGAGAGATCATCATTGCCTGAATTTAGCTTTGTGACTACAACAGCAAGACCTCTTCCTGTCTGGAGACGACTGTTATCATAATATCACTCTATCATTTTATGTTTGCCCTTTATCAATTTGAATAGATGTTTACTATAATTAGCATTTTATCTTTACAGTTCTCTAAGGGTACATCTCGAGTCCAGAAGTATATCTGAGTGTGTGCTTTGTCTAACTTTATTCTTAAATGTTTTCTCCCCTTTGTAGCCATTTATTTTTTTATATACCATAAGAAGGCAAAAAACCTCTTGTTTTCTTATTATGACATAATTTAGTCTTGGCCAAGTTGAGAATTGTGTCTAGGAAATCTATAAAGCCATGATGCTGTGTTAATTAACATGAACAATTTAGGATGAAGAAAATCATTAAAAAGTGAAGCGTGGGTTTA